TAGGGTTCGAACCAACAACCATTTAGTTAGCAATCAAAGTCTTAACCACTGTACCACCGCAGGGAAAAAAAAAAAAAAAAAAAAGCTGCTCTCGAGTCAATTCCAACTCATAGCGAACTCTGGTGGGTTTCCCTGGTGGTAAATCTTTTAATCTTTATGGAAGTTGATTGCGCCAGTTTCCTTCTGCAGAGTGGCTGGTGGGTTTGAACTGCCAGCCTCCTGGTTAGCAGTCACATAACTTAGGCACTGCAGCCATCAGAACTCCTTAAATAGTGTCGTTGTTGTTAAGTGCCATCGAGTCGGACCCGACTCATAGCAACCCCTCCTTGGGTTTCCCAGGCAATATCACTATGGAAGTAAGATTGCCCCATCTTCCTTCCGAGGAGTGGCTGGTGGGTTTGAACCCGCCAGCCTTCTGGTTAGCAGTCAAGTGCCCTAGGCACTATGCTACCAGAGCTCCTTTAAATAGTGTTAAGTGTCTTAATAAAATAGGTAACTACCATAATCATAAGGATTATGGTAATAATCATAAGGAGCTCTGATGGCACAATGCCTAAGGCATTTGACTGCTAGCCAAAAGGTTGGCAGTTCAAACCCACCAGCTGCTGCAAAGGAAGATGAGACAATCTACTTCAGTAAAGATTTACCACCATGGAAACCAAATGGGGGTTACTATGAGTCAGAACAGACTGGATGGCAGTGGGTTTGGGGTTTTGAGGGGCTTAATATAATCAAACCTTACATCTCAGCCTCACAGGTATATTTCGAGACCATGATTCACAAGAAATGTTTTGAAGTTTAAAATGAAATGTGTTTTCTAGCCACAGAGCCAGTGAAGTTAATTGGCAGGCTCGCCTCACTGCTGTAATGTCATCAGGCATAATGCAGATGAACAAAGAAGGAAGCACGCATGGTGCTGTAACAGCCATGTTAACCTTGGATTGATAAGAAGACATAAGAAAACAAAATCAATACTTGCCGAGTTTAAAGAGACAAAACTAGTGGAGATAGATATTTTATAGACTACAGCAAACAAAAGAAAGTTTTTTAAAGGCACCTAATCTTTTTCCAATTTAATGTATCTTTCTCAATCATATTCAAATATACTACAATACTATATTTTGTTAGACTTTGTATCTGAAATACAGAAAGTTTAGTTCAGATCTTTTGCCTACAGATGCTCATAAGACAGATAGCTTTCTTTTTCACATCTGGTGTATGAGGCAGAGATTGAGAAAGAGAGAGTTAAATAAGAACTAATCAACCGATGGTATTTATCATCTATTGTGCCTAAAGCAGGTACTAAAACTATAATGTGGAAATTATTGCAAAAAAAAAAAATGGAGAAATAAGTATAAAGTCTTCAAGTCATACTTTTCAGACATGTGAAACAGCACTGTATCTCTGAAAAAGTAACAACTGAGGTTGGAGAAAAACCTGCTTTTACAATAAAACTTAATTTTAAAATTAAAAAATGCAGTGAAGATGGTAAACAGCACATTACATAGCAGAGAAATCTAAACAAGTAAATTATGAGACCAGGTCCAGAAATTCTCCACAACACAAAGGGGAAAGATCAAAAGCTGGATTTGGTTAATGGAAAAAATAGAAAAAAAAGTGTGGCTGTTGAATCCCTCAGCTCAAGCCCCAAGAGAGAAAGAGGGAGGGTTGGGTGGAAGGAAAGAAAGGAAGGAAGGAAGGAAAGTTACTAAGAAGAATACTGAAATGTTTTATTTACATACACTACAGTTGTCCCCAAAGTTCTCTGTAAGCATGCATTTTTCCTTGAGATAGTACTCATTTAACATATAAAGCATTGTATTTGAAAAAACATTTAAAAGCTAAACATCCATCCAGAGCATAAAGACCCACCTCGTTATTTCCTTTTCCTGTGATGTCTAAATTCATAAAATACACAAGCCAAGAATTCTTTAAAATTTGACATACTTGATGATAAAAATTAAAAGGATTCCTGAAGTTTCTTACTTTATTAGCATCAGATAAAACGACACTTGCCTAAAAGTAACACTTGCTCTTTCTGCCACATATATTTAATTATAAATAGTTCTAGTGGTGTAGTGGACACGGCACTTGACTGCTAACTGAAAGTCAGCAGTTCAAACCCACCAGCTGCTCTATTCCTACTTCCATAGTGACACTGCCTCGAAAACCCAAGGAGGGGTCGCTATGAGTCAGGGCTGACTCGACGGCAAATAACAACAACAACAACAGCTGCTCTATAGAAGGAAAACAGGATGATTTACTTCTGTAAAGATTTATAGTCTCAGAACAAGAACCCAGTGGGGTTCACTATGAGTCAGAAACAACTCAATGGCAGTGAGTTTAGGGATAGATAGATAGATAGATAGACAGATACATACATACATACATAGATACATAGATAAATAGATACATAGATACATAGATAGGTAGGTAGATAGATAGGTATAGATATAGATATATCCATGGTGAACACTCATTTTTAAATTGATAAGTGTGACTTGTTCAAAAGGTTTAACTCATAGGTCCCACAAGATCTTCCCCATTGTCCTGAAAGCCCAATGAGCCAATGAACGTGTACGGTTTATCCATTCATGACATCATTTGATTAGTAAACAACCTGATTAACCTGGGTAATGATTAAAGAGAAAACACTAAAGCAAAAAGCCTGTTTTTAGTTGGCAATAACCTCTCCCATCCAATTTTTGCCCCCTTTTTAAGTGCCCCAGGATGGTGAAACAAAAAAGCAGCACCTCTTTATGTCTGCAGGGAAATTGTGATTCATGCCAGGTGAAAGTTCCCAACTATCCAAATTATTAGCATTATGGTCTAATATTTTGACTTGTTATCCACACTTCAGAAGACAGTGATAACTGGTGTCTGACAAAGCTGCATCCAACACAGCACTTTAATTAGCAGCAGGCACTCTGAGCCCACATATGGAGAGAATTACAGAGCTTTCCTGGTTCAAGCAACCAAGGGAGGAGAGGGCATGGGGAATTCACTGAGGCATCTACATTAGCACAAGGAAGACATTAGTTGACATAAGCCTCTGGAGGAAAGGTGTTTTTTGCTGGAGCACAGATGTTACTAAAGTTATTACAACAATTTCAGCACATTCATTACAACAATTTCGGCACGCTTGACAAATTATGATTCATGACCATTTTTGACTGGTTTGTTCTAGACATTTAACTATTACTGAGTGAGTTATCCAAGATCCTAGAGCTTGTGATGGTTACAGAAAGTTTTGAATCTAGAACTGTCTGGGACCAAATCTCATGTCCTTTCTACCATAAAAAGCTATTGCCAGTAGCTAGTAGCATCTTTGGAAATAGCCTGCATAGCATTTATCAAATAACCACTAGTGCCAACAAGGTGCTTGGTATTGCCAGAGTGGAAGTGAGCAGAGCTGAGTGGAGGACAGACACAGTACTCAGTTCACAATTCACAGTACTCAATTTCTGTGGAAGAAGCAGAGATGTCTCACACAGTAATAGTTTTAAAAAGTTTCAGGTAGAAAACCTATCAAATGCAGTGAGAGAAGAATAGGAGACTGAATTGAATTGAGACAAGAGAACTGAGGGCTGTCTTTCCACAGAAGAGAAATTTGTGCTGAGACTTGAAGACTGTAAGTAGAAAATAGGAAGTCAAAGCATAAAATACCTGTAACTCTGCATTATTTGCCTTTAGCTTATATTAATCATTTGTGCATATAGGTAGTTCTTTGTTCATCTCTTTGTACTCTGACTTGCATTATTAAAAAGGATAGAGCAGAGGTAGTGGGAATTGATGTGCTCCATTCATTGTTCGTAGTAAACAGAGCATCATTCACAAAGGCACAGTGATGTTTAGAGAACTAGACTCACCACCAGAAAACCTATGTTCAAGGTCTGTCATTGATGAGCTATGTGATTCTGGGTTAAATTTAGCTTACTTGAACTTCAGCTTTTGAAATCTTAAAACAGTAG